TACCTCGCAGCTCGTTGTAAATTTCCGGATGATAGCTTAGCAACTTTGAGCTCATCAATTTGACCAAGCGCCAAAACGCATGGCCATCCACCTCGGCCCCCTCGATGGCAGGATAGGTGAGATTTGTCGGCTGGCGCGCATAGATGGCCCATCGATCCGCCTTTGCATCGACCCATTGCGGTCTGTGAATGCGGTGCGCAAAGGAAGCGTTGAGCAGGATGAAAGTGTCTCTTCTGAGCAGGAACATGCTCCCAAAAGCTTCGAGCAGAGCATCGGCGCCTACATTGAACAAGACGATTGGCAAGTCGTACGTCGCTGCGTTGCCCTCCTCCTCTTCTAGCGTGCCGTACCCCTTGAGCACAGTCATCGTTCGACCTAGCGGCGAGGAGATGTCTGTCATGAATCCCGTCGCCATTCCGCTGAATGCAAGCACCTGTTCCATGCCGAGCCGACGTGAGAGCGAGGCGTCCAGATCCGGTGCCAAACCCTGCCAGTGCGCGCTCGTCTCGCATTCGCGCCTCGCATTCCCAAGGCCCAGCTCGCCTGGCGGTAGGCGAACCTGCGACACAAAGGGCATCGCATAGCGTTTGAGAAAGACGCTCCACCACATGCAAAGCGCCATCCTCGCACATCGGAGCGCTTCCCACTCGCTCGACACTTCTGGCGCTTCCTCCTCCGGCACAGCCAAATCGCTGGATGGTGAGAGGACGGAGGAGGATGGGGGACAGCGTATGCCAAGCTCCAGCCTCGCTGCTGTAGAATCTCGGCTCACTGCGCCGAAAGCCTTTTCAAGCAGATCCTTGCCGTACATCAACATTTTCTTCATCTCCCTCTCCTTTCTCTCTTCTGGCAGCGGACATATGCTTTGCATCAGCACCTTTTCCTCCTCATCGACCAGTCGGTATGGGATATAGAGCGGGTAGCTGTCAGAGATGGATGAAGGCATGTACCCATCCACCACGTGGTAGAGAAGCTGGCATTTGTCGAGCTCTGGCCTGTAGCCGCCGTGCAGATACTCGCTTTGCACCAGGCTCCGAGGCGGCTGTGGGAGGATCATACGGTTCTGATCCGATGACGATGCCGATGCCGATGCCGATGCCGATGCCTCGCCTCGCAACCGGCACTCGCTGGCCCAACGCTTAGCAGCGCCAGGTCGCAATCGCGCCTCGACGTGCTCTGCGGAAGCAAAGGCGATGATGGCCTTCTTGGCAGCTCGCGCCGTCTGCGACTTGAGCTTGCCAGCTTGCCTTCTTCTATCCTCCGCCGTGCTCGTCGTCTTGCTGGCGTTGGCGACATCGCCCTGGCAGACGGCTGCAGTCATTGCCATTGGCGCATTTTCCGCCTCTAGCAGCCCCTCGGCAGACGAAAGCTCTGCTTGTGCGCCCTGCCGAGCCTCGTCTGCTCGCGCATCAGCGCTTGACCTTGGCAAGCTCAAAGCCCCGCTCGTCATCGCCATCGTCATCGCCATCGCCGTCGCCTGCACCTCCGCCTCCATCTTGACTCGTGGCCACTCCACCTGCGTGCTGAGGTGCTCCTGCGCCTCATCGTCCGCCTCTCTTTTGATCCGCTTGGCGCCCCTCTCTTGTGCTGGCGGAGGCACACGCCTGTCCTCGATGGGTGGTGTGTTGAGCTCATCAGAGGCCGCCTCACTCAGCTCGGACAGCTCGCTCAGCTCAGAGTCGTCGCTGTAGCCTGACGCATCATGGCGCACGCGCACGCGATGAGGGGTCGCATCAGCACCACCGCTGCCAACATGGTCACCTGGCGGGCAAGCCGGTCGCATGTATATGCTCCGCACAGCTCCAGCCCGCTGCGATCGGCGAGGCGTCGCCATGTCGCTCGCACAATCTAAAAGACTGCAGACAATCAAATGTGAATCAATCGGGCCACACACGTCAAGTGAGCACAATGAGAAATCACACGCGATCGATCAACCACCCTGCGTCACTACTCACCTCATGCTGGCCGACTGTGACTGGGCGCGATCGTCCAGAGTGCGTGCGTGCGTGCGTGCGTGCGTGCGCAGCGAGCGAGCGACTGAGATGCCGCTCAGGGGCCATGCATCATGTAGCACGTCATTGTGATTGTGACAAGAGCGGTCTCGGCTAAGCGCGCGGAACAGCCTGCTTGCTGGTGATTCATAATGTGATTGTGATGATGTGTGTGCGCTGTGCAATTTGAATGCGCTGAACGCAGCAAAGTCGGAGGATCGGCAAAGCGTGCGGGGCGAGGCGCCATGCACGCAAGCCAGCGCAATCACGTGAACATAGCCGGCGAGATACTTGGCGCGACGCGACTCAAGATCAAACTCCTCGACTCACGACTCTTACTCTTGACTCGAGACTTTCTTACGCGTATTTCATTATTGAATGGGGCACTCGTGACTCAGACTCGTGACTCTGATCTACACTATAGACTCACGAATACCACACTCAGACTTGTCTTGTCTTCAGCCAGGCAATCGCAAATCAGTTTGGATATTCGGAGTCAATATCGTAAATGTTGAATCGCGAACCTTGAATGCAGCCACTCCACTCAAGAGCTGTCGGCGGGTCGACATTCACGTGATTCACCCATCAATCCAAAACGATTCGCGCTTTTGAGCCAGTGCGCAGCAGGCGTACAAAGTCAGCTCATCCCTTGACGCTATCATCGCAGATACTCATCAATTCAATGCAGGCATCTCAGCAATCTTGTCTACAGTCGTACCGCTTCCTCAGACCAGCTTGCATTCCATGTACTTGTCTTTTTCCTTGGCTACGTAAAACCCCTATGCAAGTGCAGAAGTAGAGTTGGCTCACTAGGCCGCACAAAACGATGATCAATGAATGAGACACTCTTTTCAAATTCGACTCGCGATTGCTTCTTTCAAGATTCGATCGATGGCGGATGGACTTCTGCAGCGGTAAAGATGGCGCATAGAAGCAAGTCGTTAAAGACTTTTTCACACCACCACGACAGTGATTCGCTCACTGAATGTGCGCAGCGTGACCTACGCCTTTCAGCACCGTCAACTTGGCCGAGGACATGACCTTTGCGAGGTACACCGAATTGCAAGGTTTGATAACGTCGTCGTCTGCTCGAAGATGCAAGACGGTGTAGACGTGAGCAAGAGTCGGCACCCTGACGCGGGGCTGTGCTCACCGTCGCCCGTAACGATGGCCACGTAGGGCACCGTCTCGCCGATCCTTTTCAAATTCTTGTCGGAAATGTGATGCGTCATCGTTGCTGCTATCCTTCCTACAGCTGCGTGTATGCTGACCTTGGTCGTGGTGCGGGCGTTGAGCTGAAATGCCTGTCGTCGGGCGCAAATGAATCAGCTCAAGGTCCTTCATGCATCATTGTAGCTCAAGCTCAGCGCACCTCGATCATGACGTGCCTGCGAGTGCAGTGAGTGCCGGCATGCTCTACCGTCTCGTCCAGCCAATTCTTGGGAAAGAGTGTCTCGACAAAAAGCGCAGCTCTCGTGTCTGCGTCGTCCCAGCCAGCTGACTGGAGCAAGAGCAGTTGGCCCACTGCTCGTTGCCCAGTCCACTGCGTGTGTCAAAGATGATCGCGCAGGTCAGCGATGCGCGTAAAGAGAAAGGCGTTCAGCTGACGTACAGGAGGTACAGTATCGAGCAAGCCTTTGCCAGACGAGCGACCGCTGTGCGTACTCAGCAGGACCAAGCTAGCCCAGCGCTCCACGCACTGCCGGGCGCACTCAAGCGCCACCATACCGCCAAACGTCTCTCCTACGAGGTGCACACTGCAATCCTGAATCCACCGTCCTCCGAGATGATCCAGTACTTTCAGTACGTCTTGTGCTAGCTCACTCGTTCTGTGCGCCGGAGCTCGTTCATCAGCCTGCAAGCCATCGACCGAAATGCACACTAAACTCACTTGTAGCGACCCCTAGGTGCCGTGCTGCCTCCGGAGCCTCGCAAGTCGATATAGAGACAAGATAAGGACAAGTCGCAGCTACACGCGCTCATCTGGCGCGACGCGTTTGGTTTATGAGTTTCCTTTGACGACGCGAACAATCATGACGATGCACGCACTTGTATGGACCACCTAAAGTATGCGAGTGAGGTGAGATACGTGATACCCCACAGCTCGTATTTTCCCTCCAACTCACGTCTCGCTCGAGCTCAGCAAGCCTGGAAGGAAGACTATCTTTTTGGGTCCGTGTCCGACGATGTGATACTGGACACTGATATCTGCTCCGCGAGATGACCTGCGACTGACGACCACTCGAGCGGTGGTCATGATGTCCTTCGAGAGCCTTTCCCTTGGCAGCGCTTCCATTTTCAACATGATGATGGGCGGACGGACAATGAAGACATTGAGCACGGTGTGGTTATGATGACCCAAGACGCCGGCTTGACAGAAGCGCCTCGTGATTGAGAAATGTGTCTGGGAGTGTGCAAGCTGGTGGGCTCACTGACGACAGCGTAGCGAAGAGCATTTCCAAGAGAGCCAATCGTCGAGGTATGTTGTCAGGACAAGCAGCCACTCCGCCACTCAGCACTCCGGCAGCTTTGAAAGCGGCTCATTCACGATTCGGACATGCCGTATATGCCACCGCTCAGTGAGGGTCTAGATAATGCCGACAAACTTTGTGCCGCGCGCAGCAAGCAGCAGCAATCAGCAGCAGCAGCATATCATGCATGCGCGTGGAGCGCCGCGCGCGGTCCCACCGCGCTGCGCAAAGGACGAGCGCTCATGCAAAGACGCCGCCGCTGCTGGAGCTTGTGGGCGCGGCGACCATTCACGGTTTTGGCAAGTGGACGGACGGACGACCTTCAAAGTTGGGTCAATCTTTGCGCAGCGTGCAAGCTCTCCTCTGACGCACAATCACGCTTCGGACGTCATGTGCGCAGAAATGGACAGGGCAGCAGCGAGCCCCTGTGTTTCTGTGGTCTGAAGCACATCCGCCAGCCAAGGTTCCACATCCGCCCACGTCGGTCCGGCAGAGAAGAGCGGACTGATACCAAAGTCGGAGGGGAGAAAAGTGACTGAAGGAGACGTCGCTACGCTCATGCCAGCCTGCATGGGCGAGACTGCTCGAGGTAAGCAGCCATCGAAAGACACCCATGGCGCACCGAGGCCCTGCGTCTGAGAGACGGGAGGGGTACGGTGCGCATTGATGACGTGTCCCGCGCCTTCTCGAACAGCAGTGCGTTCCTCGTCAAGCTCGATTCCTGGCAACGATGAATCGCTTGCAATCTTGTGGCTCCATAGGAGCTCTTCTGTCCTGATCAGACACGTGATTGGTCCCATCGGACCATTTCCGTCACCCTCGTCTGCACTTTGACATTGCTGAACGGCCTGTCGAACTTTGGTCAAAGTCAGCTGACGCTCCATCGAAGTGACTTGAGCGGTGGAAGAGGCTATCAAATCGAGCAGCAGCACCGTGCAAGCGCTCGTGACGCTCGTGACGTTCATTTTTAGATTGTCGATGACTGGGCAGATTCCTCTGATTTCATCTTGAAGTTCAAGCACGTGGGAACCAAATATCCGCAGATGCCTAGGCACTTGATCACCGAAGCGAAGTTTGGATGTGCGGAGGCACAAGTGGAATACTTGTTGATGAAGCATCCATCGGTGTACTTGAAGCCGGCCAGCTTCAAAGTCGCCCATTTCCAGTCTCAGTCGAGCTGCGTCAGCAGCAAGGCTGTACTGAGATGGGAGCGCATCCATAAACCGGCAGACGTCTGCCACGCTTGCGGCGCTTGCGGCTCGATCCGACGCGCTGTGTAGCCGTGCATCGAAGAACTGCCGAGCAAGTTTCGCAAGACCAATGTAAACAGGCACGAAGCCGACCAGCGGATCATTGGTCTGCGTATCAGTGACGACTGGAAGCCGCGCGTTGAAGTGCTGGGGGTGTATCGAGTAGGATTGCCGATGAAAGCTTGCCATCCAGTCTCTGCTGACCAGGTGCCACCTGCGAAAAGAGGTGAGCAGTCAAACGCGTCAACTCAGGCTGGAGTACGCTCCTAGCTGGGGCCACTCACCACAGGCGAATTTCGAGCTCCTCTGCACCCTGCCTTGGCGGATCAGGCAAGCTACCGCGCCGATGCAAGCCAAGCGTGTGTGCACATCGAACAGCGTGGTCGAAGATGCGATGACGCGTGCATTCATCTTCCAGGTCCGTCAGCAGGAGTACCACCAGCGCTTGTAGTCCTACAAACCCGCATGGACGTGCGAGCAGATGCTCTTGCGCGAGTTTCATCGCGCGTTCGTGCAACTGCAGAGCGGTTGCGCGAGCGTGATGTCCGCTCTGGCGGTGGTGCAAGTCTGCCAAAACACTGCTTGGAGCCACCTGGATGCTGACGGCTAGAGACGTCTGCACCAGACAAAGCTCATCCCACTCCAACAGATCCGAGTCAGCGAGGCATCGGTCAAGCAAACGCAGCAGATCATTCAGATCAATGCAGTAGAGAATGTGGATCAAGCAGCGGTCCCGAAAGACTCTCTTGAGCAAGCGCCGGCTTTCGTCTCTCGTGCCGAGCAGGACACGAGTGCAGCGCGTCTCTGCACGTCTCGCTTCGCTTAAAGACTGGCCAGTGGACGGAAGACTGGGTGGTGGGGACAAGGTGACGGCAGACTGCGATTCTCCAGACAAGCACTCATTGCCCTCGACATTGACTCGAGTGTCGGATCTCGGCAGACCGTTGGAGACAGCCGGAGCAGCACGACTATCGAACGAGCGCGGTGTCAAGAGGTGGCTAGCATCCGATCCCGCTCTTGCTCTTTTGCTTGATCGCTTCTTGCGCTGTGCTCGCACGCAGAGGTGCGCAATGTCCGATCTGACGCACCGCGAGCATGGGTGTTGGCCGTTGCAACGCTGTTTCTTCTCCTGGCAGCGTACGCAGCTGCGATTCAGTGACATTTTGCGAACCTCTTGCTGATTGGAGACGTCTTGACAGCCCGCGAGGATGATTGTCTTCAACAATGTCTTAATGTTCACTTGTCTCACACCATTTGGGAGCCAGCGTCTTTGCGGATGTATCACCATCAAATACCAAACGGGCGCTTTGCAGATGCTGAGTCGGATCTACAGTGACGAGTGACGATTGATACGAGTCGTGAGCAGTGAGCTGCACCTGCCAAAGTCCGAAATGCCGCGTGGAGAGGTGCCAGGCGTAATGATTCAGCGACTTGGACGCGCGCATGCAGGGTCCTCTGCGCGCGTTTGCGGTGCACGACGGCGCGGAGATATAAATCCGACGGCTTTGCGAGCTGCGCAGCAGGCAAATCTCCCTCTGCGCGCGTGAAACACTGATGCTACTCGACGACTCTGCAAACGGAGCGCGGGGGGGTCCCACCAAAAACTGACGTTCTTCAAGCTCACCTGCCAGCAGCCAGTCTTTAGCATCTGACCGTCATCCACCGGCTGAATGTCTCGCATGACGATCAGCAAGCAGCGACAGACTGACTCGGATGGTGGAGCAGGACGACGCCACGAAAGGCGGCAAGGGTAGCACAATGAGCTTGCCAGACAGTCGTACTACGGCCAGACAGTCGTACTACGGCCCAGTGATCAATGTCGCACCTTGCACTTGATGACGAGCTCGGTCGCTTAAATAGCGGCACACGCTTGACTCTCCCGTGAGTTTATTGCCTCACACTTTGGTCGTGTCCCAAAAGCCTTCCTTCCCCTATCGACTCCAGCGCTCAACTCACGGACCCTGCATGATGAGAAGACAGCAGAAAGCGAGTCCAGAGGCTGCGCTGCCCTACGCCATCATTACTGGCGGATCCGAAGGCATTGGTGCGGCCTTTGCCCACGAGTTGGCATCACGTGCAACACACAACATCATCCTCGTCGCGCGCAACGTCAAGAAGCTCGATGACGCCCAGAAGGACATCGAGCAGCGCGTGTCCACCGCCAAGGGTGACTTGGCACGCAACTTTTCGGTGCAAAGCATAGCATTGGATCTCGCAGCACCGAACGCTGCGCAGGCCCTGCAGAATTTGACAAAGGTGAGACTGTCGGGGAAAAAATTGCACTGCTGTAGGCTGATACGTCGTCGCGTGCTGTCCAGGATTTGCCAGTGACGCTGCTCATCTTGAACGCCGGAACCGCGGTTGCAGGCCCATTTGAAGATCAAGATTGGGCACGAACGCGCACTGTGCGTTCTTGGCCGCCTTTGCGCGCGTTAAGCGTTCCCCGACACCGCTAACGTTCTACTCTTCCCCGCAGATGAACGACCTAAATGTCGTTGGTCTGACAGAGGTCATTCAAACCTTTTTACCGCGATTGAAGAAGGAGGCGCGCGTCCGAGCGGCTTACAACTCGCGCCAAAGTCCCGTCGGCCTCGTCACTCTTTCGAGCATTGCTGGTGCGTCGAGCGCGCGGATGCAATGACACACTGGCCCACGCTGCTGACGTTGGGCGCTCCTCAGGTCTGATGCCGGTCCCCGCCATGGCTGCATACGCTGCTGGCAAAGCATACGTCTTGTCCCTAACGGAATCCATCCACCACGAGCAGCGTGTTCAAGGGACGGAAGTGCACGTCACTTGCGTACTACCCGGTCCGACTAGATCTGCGCTTTGGTCTTTGGTACGTCTATGCCTGGTCTGCTCTCCGCACTTGTCACTGGGACTGAAATACGCTGCGAAAACTGAATGACAGGACGGTGGAAGACCTTCCAAAGTGCTTGTTCCTTGGACATCTGCACAGTCAGTCGCTCGCGCGGGAATTGACGGTTTCATGAGCAACACCGCAGTCGTCATTCCAGGCGTGCACAACAACATTACAGCGTATAGTTTGCGACTGGCCCCAAAGTGGCTCATTCGCCGCATTTCGTCCCTCGCCATGAATCAATGGCCAGACCAGAGCAAGACCGTAAAAAGTACAAGGGAGCATCGCTGGTCTTCGAACCACTCGGCAACACGCCCGACCATTTCTGTCCTGGCTGCCGCTGTCATGGCTGCGTTGCTCTTCCTGCATGGCTTTCCTAGTCTGCTTTCTAGCCCATCCAGCCCGTACAGATGGATTTATCGCCGAATCGGTTGGATGGGCCAGGAGTCCACCAGCTTCCCATTCTTGCTGACGTTTCGAGAAGCCGTGAGTGACTGTGGTTGCGCCGTGGCAGGCAGCGGCAGCTAAAGGCGTCAATCTCGCGTTGCGTGGCAGGATGACCGCCTCTTCTTGGAGGATCGCGTCCAAAATCAGCCAACATATTATCGTTGGGGGCATGCGATTCCAGCATTCATCTGGACGTGCTGTGTACCCTTGCAACACTCTCCCCGGATCCGTGCTCGCTTTCCAAGCTTTCATAAAATGAACGGATACGTCGTCTTTTCGATTTCCGCTTTGCTAATGACTACCGGCCTCGGATTTTTGGTGCGGGGCACTTCCCACTCCGAAAAGGGCCTGCTGACCGTGCACCACGTTCCTGGACATCCATGGCTCATCTATCCGACCTTCGATCAGGATCTGCTGCTAGTCACCGCCCTGCAAGCTCCGACTTTGTTGCTCAGTCTACAAGCGGCTCGAAGGCGCGAATTTGCTAGACACCAGTACTGGGCTACCATGTTCACCATCGCGTCTTACATTATTCATCTCGACCGACTCGGCTTCACCCTCATCTTTCTCATCGGTGGCATGCTCCAGCACCTGCCGTTGAGCATTCAAGCGCGTCTACCCGAGTCTATCGAAGACAAGATGAGGTACGAGCTCATGGCTTTTTCCCTCTCCGCGCTGCTCGGAGGCATCATTGGGCTAGCTTGGGCATTCAAAGCGCATCGAAGCTTGACTGCGAAGCACGGCTCATGAGCAGTCTCCGCCGTGTCCAAGTCTTTGGTGCGCTTCTTTGGGGCCATTACATGTATCAGATACGCTCAAGCAGAAAGTGGACACGTATGAGACATGATACGCGGACGGGCTCGCAAAATCATCGCGTGTGTACGCTCCCGCGCGTTCGCGCGCGTTCCCGCGCGTTCTTGCATTCGACGCGCGAAAAGGCGATCGACCTTCAAAGTGGCGTGGCACGTACTCGCACAGTTTGTTGGCTGACTGTGAGCGTGGTGCGATGCTGCTGATAAGGTGTCGTTTGTGTATTTGGACGAGGTTGACCAGTCAAGCCAGGTTCAGCGAAGCGCGCAACATGAGGACCAAGTCGCAGCGCTGTGGAGAAAGTGAACGCGCTGCTCGCCATGGATGCTTTCAAGGCCCGCAAGCGGTAAGCATGTGCCTACAATCCGAGGTTCGTCGTGCGCACGTCGAAACGCTGCACAATTTTGGCTTTTGCATCTTTCAGGCATCACCATACACGCTCGACTCTACCAATGTGAAGACGAATCGCACCGCCCCGCGACGCGAATCGTCTCCGAGGCCTCGCGTTCGCACTCTTTCGCGCAGGCGCGGGCGCGGGCGCGGGCTATGCGGACGCGATCAGTCCGCGCCAGCGACTCAGCGCCATGTATATCGAGCAATTTGATCAAGTCGGACAATATTTGACATAACGTGAAGTATCTGACAGCGCGGCATTAGCTCAGTTGGGAGAGCGTGAGATTGAAGTTATTCAATATCATTCCGATCAGCACGGGGTTCGACCCCGGCGCGACGCGGATCCTCAAGGTCCTTGGTTCGAACCCGAGATGGCGCACTTTTTTTTATTGTTCTCGACGCGTCTGCAGATTTTCTTGTAAGCTCTGACCCTTGCGCCCAGCACAGTCTTTTCGAAACTCCGACCCTTTATTCATAGCAATCAGCAGCAATCAGCAAAGGCGCTCATGCGCGAGCAAAGCAATAAGAAGCGCTGAGCAGCTTTGGTACCAACTGAAGAAGTGGTGCGGCGGCATCCAGGCAGTCAAGATGAAGAAACAATGCTCAGCAAAGATGATACCATGTTGATGGTTGTGAATGCCGCAACTGGCGCAACCATGCTACAGCGCTTGCCAACATCGTCAATGCGCTCACACCGCAGAATCATTGCACTGGCAAAAGAGTGACGCACTGTGTGCAATGACTTGTGGGAGGCAGTGGTACGGTCAGGAAAGAAGGATGTCATCTTTTACGAGCGGACTAAGAAGAACACAAAGAAGAAAGGCGGGAGTCAGTCTCTTGCGGTGGGTTTGATGCGGTACGCAGGAGGCAGAGGAAAGGACATGAGCGCACATTGGGGATGGGCAATGGCGCACAAGGTGGCTCCAGTAGAAGCAGCGGCAATGCTCAGATGGCTGAAGGCATTTGTGGGGCTCTTGGTCAAGACACACTTCAGGCAAGGACGCATTGCAGAGGACTTTGCAGCGCGTATCAAGGCAAGGGAGGCATTGCGCAGGGTGATGCAGCGGGCACTTGGTGTGGACGGTGCAGATCAAGTGCATTGGTACTTTCACACCGGGGAAGTCATACAGGGAATAACTGGCGGCTTTCATCTTGACCCACATGATGATGTGCCGAACATACTGATCAATCTTGGGAGCGCTGTGGAGTTGCAGCTTGCAGAGTACGGCAAAGTGCACATGGATGTTGGGACCGTGGTGCTCTTCAATAATAGGGAACTACATCATGCAGTACGCTCTGCACCATCAAGTACAGCAGAAGAGCGGTGGGCACTCACGCTGGGAGCATAGCATGCGACACTTGAACCAAATGACGCACAGAAATAAATGCTTGCACTGCGCTTATGTCTGTGATGCGTGCATGTGTGGGTGCGCAACATGAGTCTGGGCATGTGGCATGCTTGTGTTTGTTAGTAAGCTGCACATGTCAGACAAGGCGAGATGTGGGGGAATGTCAACCGGTACTGCAGGGAGTAGCAAGTTCACCAAGGCTATTGGTCAATGATAGGCTTGGCAAGTTGGCTCCGTCATCTGCGCACATACTTACATAGACCGTCTGTCTAGATCTCTACACCATAATTGGCAGAGCCTCTATAGAATCCGGACTATGAATAGTATCTGCAATGACGCTCTTGGTCAACAAGTACCTTGAGGACTAAGACTGAGGTGCTTGGTGCGCATGAAAGAGAGAAATGAGCTGATGTGCACTGGACTGGGCAGGCTGTGTGCATGCAAAGAGACATCAGTGATCAAGAGTGACAGAGTGCTCAGCAGGGCAATAAGCAGCAAGCAAAGTAGTGCGTTAAGCAGGAAGGTGTTAGTGCGTGTAAATGAAAGAGCTGTGGAGTAAGTGTCAAGGGCAAAGCAGGGCAGTGTGTGCAGGCAATTAGTGCGCAGAATGAGAGTGTTGTGCAGAGTACACCAGGCAGGAAGCAAGAGTGTGGTTGTGTGGCAGCAGTTAGTGCGCAAAGTGAGAGTGTCTGTGCAGCACATTGTGCTAGTATGTGCTGTTGAGAGAGTGCAACAGACAGGATGCTAGAGCATGCAAACAAGGGGAGCAGATTTGGCAAGCATTGCAGAGGTCAGAGGGTGTTAGTGCGTGTTAATGAGAGAGTGTTCCAGAGAAGCAATAAGGAAGGGAGAGGATGTTAGTGCATGTAAATGAGAGAGCTGTGAGGAGAGAGGGTCAGTCAGTGAATGAGGGGGCTGTGAGTGCGTGTTAATGAGAGAGTTGTGAGGAGAGAGGGTCAGTCAGTGAATGAGGGGATGTTAGTGCATGTAAAGTTAGGGTTAGGGTTACAAGGGTGTCTGGAATTAGGGTCGGGGATGTTTGATAGCCAGTTTGTAGAGCACATTGAGGAGTGTCTTGTGGCAGAAAAGTTTTGGATTTGCGATAGCCGTTTTTGCGTGAGGAGGCGCAAAGCGCAAGTGCGGGGTGATTTTGGCTGGTGGAGCCTCTGGAATTTGGGAATCAATGTGACCCTAGCAGGGTTTTAGAGAGGGTCAGAGGAGTCATTTAGCATGTGTGAAGGGTTTGGGCTGGGGTTGCAAACTCATGGAGATATGGGCTTTCAAAG